CCCCCCCCAAAACCCGGTTGGGAAAGGTGAGAAACTCTCACGAACACGAAACAAGCATTGTTCCAAACCACGTGAACCAAAAAAAAAAAGGTGAAAGCAAAATCAAATATTCAAAACCTGTTGAACCTCATTTACCACAGTACCCTTTTAAAAAACTTCAAAACCCCACATCCAAACTTCCCTCACTCTGCATTTTCCCAGGGCTAAATATGTAAACTCAGAAGTGGCATCATCAATATAAGCGCCAAAACGTAAAAGAACATAACCATATAATCTCAACACACTCCCAAAATCCAAACTGACATTCTCAACAATTTGGCCAGCAAAACGACTCAGTGTAGTTTCTGCCATGGCTTCATCCACCATTATTGAAGCCTGTAAGAGTAGAAAGAGAAACCGAAAGCCATTTGTATTTGAAACATTCGCAACAGGAAACTCCATTGACGGTTTTTCAGGACCTTTTAAAGACAATATCCGAATGTTCCTCCAAGAATTTTCTAATATTGAAGATTACACTGTCTCTGGTTTTCCAATTTGGTCCACTTGGTTGATTTCTAACTCAACCGGTGCAGTTTTCCCACTCTACACCATTGAAGAAACCACTCAACACTCTCTTCAACCTTTCTGTGATCACTGCAAATTTTTTGGTAAAATAATATGAACACTCAATTTTCTTTCTGCAAATATGTAATGAATTTTGTTTGTACTTTTTTTTTGTTTATTATTATTATTATTATTATTATTATTGCTGATTGTATTTTTTCTTTTTTGGGGGTTGTTGAAGGATGGGGTCACCATTATGTGTCAAATAGAAGGTACCATTTGGTAATACCGGCAAATGAGAACTGGGAAAAGCCATTGGGAAGCGATTCTTTTGAAATCAGTACTCACGTTTTGCATGGTTTGATTCATTGCAATGGTTATGGCCATTTGGTGTCCATTAATAATGGCGTTGTTAAAGGGGATTCAAATTTGCTCTCTGGAACTGATTTCATGGATTTCTGGGATCGTCTATGTACTATCTTCAAAACCAGGTATCAAACATCATACTGATTAATCTTAATCCTTTTTCATAGTTTTCCTGTGAGAAATTGTACTAACAATACATACTAGTAAAATTTGAAGTAAACAAAGCTATATTCCTAAAACATTCAGTAGTATTATTTGTAGTGTTTTTCCTTAGTACATGGAATTGAAGAACCGTTTCTATCATTATTGTTATTATCATTTTGGCAGGAAAATTTCAGTGAATGATGTGTCAAAGAAGAGAGATATGGATTTGAGGTTGCTTCATGGTGTTGCATATGGACAATCCTGGTTTGGGAAATGGGATTACAGATTTGGACGTGGAAGCTATGGAGTGACAGAGCAGAAATATGAAATTGCTGTTCAATTCCTAAGCTCATTAGGACTTGATAAGATTTTGAATGATTTCAAAAAGGATAATCCGAAAAGACTGAAAATCAAGCAGATTATCGGTACCTACAGAGAATTGAGTGAAGTTCCATTGATCACAATCAGTGACTTGTTTCAATTCATGCTTGCTTTTAAGTCTAAAGCTCCATTTCATAGTAAAAAGAAGCTTGAAAATAGTGATGATTATTGGTGTGATCCTGATATAGGAGAGAAAAATAGGCCAATTAGTATGGATACATTTGTGAATTTGATGGCTAACAATGATTGTAGATGGCCTGCTAGAAGGCTAGAATTTGTGCTAATAGTGATTGTGAATTTGCTGAAAGAAAATCAAGAAAATGTGAACAGAAATTATGGGATGACAAGGCAGGACTTGAGAGATGAGGCAAGAAAATGCATTGGTGACACTGGTTTGATTGATTTTGTGCTGAAATCTATCAGATGTTTTCAATTGGGAAACCAAATTATTCGTCGGTCTATTAACCCAAATACTAAGTTATTAGAATTCACCATCCATGAAGCTGCTAATAAGGAAGCAGAACCAATAAGGTTTCAATTGTTGGACAAGGATTCTGATTGCAGGTGGACTGAGAGAAAGGTGAAAAAAGCTGCGGAGTTCATTTTGAAAATCTTGAGAGCACACAATGGTGATGGTGCAATGTCTAGGCAGGAGCTGCGTGACAAAGCTAGGACAATTATCCGTGACACCGGGCTGATTGATTACGTGCTGAAATCCATTAACAAATCCATGTTGGGAAACAAGATCATTTTTCGATCAAAAAACCCGTCTACTAAAAGAATTGAATTTGCATTTGAAGATATTGTTGATGCAAGCAGAGTTGACAACATTGAGTTAGACTTCAATATTGATCAAGATCTTGAGTACTTGTATGAAACAGTGCTTTTGAGTTACCCAGGATCAGACTCAGTGAGTTTGGCTACTCGGGTTGTCTTGGACAGCAAGAAATTTGTTAAAAAGTGGAAGCTTGAGAATCAAGAAAGCCAAATAATGGCATTAACATGTAAAGTCTTGCCGAGTTTCGACGAGTTAGAGAGTGAGTTGACTCGGCCATTGTCACCTGGTGTGGTTGTATTTGTTCCTCCTTGGATTACAATACGTGAGCTTAAGGGGGTGGCACAATTTGCATTAAGGGATACTTATTGCATAATGCAAAACTTTGTAGTAACACAAATTGGTGGTTTGAAAGGAATAGAGGATAAAAGGATGCTATCTTGCGCAGTGGGCAGAGATGCACACGTTTGGGTTAGAGGGCGTGGGCTGGACTTGGATACTGAACTGAGGTATGAAGGTGGGCCCATAAAGTTAAAGGTGGATTGCATTTGTGGGGCCAGGGATGATGATGGGGAGAGAATGGTAAATTGTGATGCTTGCCAAGTATGGTTCCACACAGTGTGCACAGGCATTGATGATCATGAGGAGGTACCAGCAATTTTCTTGTGTGAGAGTTGCAGAAATTTTTAATTTGATATAAGATATTAGTACAAACTGAATTATCAAATCTAACACTATAGATTTATCAAAAATATAAACATATTCATGAATTATGTTGACTGGATTGGAAGGGTGCAGCTTGTCCTGTTATCACTCACGCGCAGTGGAGAACTGAAGAACCTGAACTGGTGTTTAGTAGGTGACCTTTTGTGTAAGCAGGGGAGAGTTTTGGTAACTCCTTAGTTTAAGATTCTGTTTGTTTGATGTATAAGCACTTAAGTTTTTAGTTCGAAGAAACATGGCTTTGTTATCGTCTTGTGAAGTGAATGTATTACTTCACTAATCAGAATAGGATAAACCAAATTACTAAAGAATTACAAATGCTACCATGATTTGATCACTACACACTATACTTGCATCTCTATATAATTTAATCCGTAAATATGTTTTGGGTGTCTTTATGCATTCCTTTCAACTGATTTTGCAAATTCCACAGTTGACCTAGCCAAAGCATCCATTGGGTCGACACATTTCTTCAGAAGAGGATCGTCTGGAGGTAACAGGTCACGCATGTCATCTGAGGCAATTATGATAGTGTTAACTGCCCTCACTAGGAGAACTTGTAGCGCGATTCTTAACAAATTCTGTGCCCCTTCAATGTCCTTCCTGTTTAAGGCTTCCACTGCAGGGATTACAGTGTGTTCCATGGTCGCCTTATCAGGCAACACAACTTCAAAACCCTATACTCAGTAAGAGAGGCATCAGATATTGATAATCAGTCATAACTCGAAATAATAAATCAAATCGTCTAACACATTAGTGTCATATCCAAAACTTAAAAGCTTCATAATTAGGTAAATGATAAGAAGATTAAAGCACTGTCTTCCAAAAACCTATCCCAGCATCTTTCATTGTGATACCTAAAAGAGTGTGCTTTCCTTTTTGTCTTTGAGACATGCCCCGAATTCAGTCCATAGCAACAATACACAAAATCTTGCTTAACCAACATGCCTACATTAGACAGATCTATACAATTGAATGTCAAAGAAGCAACCCCATGGAGAAAAGTTCGAAAATGGAACAGAAGCGGCAGTAAGAAAGAATACAAGAAAACAGGGAAAGGTTCCTCACTGCAATTGCTTCTTTGATTACTTGAAGTGGAAAAAGGGGAGCGGGTTGGTCACTGAAAACTAACTTTTACTCGGTTCTGTTTTCTGAATGGCACTAAACATACTTGGATTCATGCAGGGCCGGCAGTCTACAAACTGAGGGACTAGAAAATCCTATGAACTTGCAAAATACTGCTCTATAGCACCGAAGGAAAATAAATGAAATGAAACTGCTGAAATATTGGTATCCTATACACTATCACATGAAGAGGCGCATAAGACTACGTGCCGGAATGGTAAAAGATGCTGAGCCGAATAGTTTCATTGTAATGGTTTTTTGACAAGGATCACAGGAATCTCATCTTGACAAGTGGAATTGATATATCTCAGCACAACCAGATCGATAACAAGGGATGCTAAATGGATATTTCCTATCTCATGGCACTCAAAGCACAGGACTGACAGACAACTTATCCAATAACATACCATCCCCCAGACCCCAACAGTCCCAATTATCGAACATAAATTCTTGAAGCACCACAAATTCACAAGTTAAATGGTTGTTAAAACAGGGTAAATAATGGTTGGTAACACAGACGATGGGAAACTTGGGTGTTTCTTACACTAGTCACATACTGAAACAAGAGAGACATTTTCAGATTGTTGAAACAATCACATAAAAGTATGACATAAATAGTTCCAAGAACCACTATCAATACCTCATTTTGAAGCTTCTCCTGATAAACTCCAGCACTCAAAGTTGCATCAGAAGCTAGAACTCCAATTCGCAGAGTACTCCCAGCTTCTAGTGGTCGCAAATTTAATTCTTTGAGCTCCTTGGCCACACACTCGCCCATATGAAGGACAGGAACTGAAGAACCTTTTGCAACCTCATCATACCAAGAATGTGATATGTGACAAGGCATGACAATGCATCGAGCGCCAGATTTCTCAAGAAAGATCCTTTTGTCACTTAGATTTTTAACAACTAAAGCATGATCCTTTTGTAAGTTCTCATTTCTACCAACGAGTAACAAACTAGGTCCCCTTTCATGGAATGAAAGCTCTTTGTTAAGAACTGGATCAGAACAAAGAACAAAAGGAAGGCCATTGCCTCCATCTTTGGAACTCCATGTGACAAGTTTTCTCACAAAATTGAGAGTGGTTCCAATGGATAACCCCCCAATGATCCCTACCGCATTTTCTTGGGTGAGCAGAACAGCAGAATCAGGACGCTTTAAAGCGGCACCTAAAGGAGAATTCTCCGTTGTATGGGCTAAATTGCTGCTTTCTTCAGTTTGTGAGATTATGGATGAAGGTGGTGTGGCCAGAACTGAACCTTTTCTGGTTCTGTTATGGCTATGGTGGCTGCTCATACGAGTCAATGTACATGTTGAATAATTCAATGAGTTTAAAGACATCATCATTGTTCTCTACAAAGTTCAGGCCAACTCTGTTAGACCTAAGAGAATAAATCTTTCTTGTTGGTTCAAAATGTACATTAACTTAGCAAAACTGCAGAAGGGGTAGTCCTCTTAGATCTGATTTCAATGTAAAAATTACCAATCTTTTACCTGAAAAAGAAATCTTGGATTTCTCAGAAAATCTTCCTTTACCCTCAAGGTAGAGAAGAGGACTTCTGCAGCAAATTTAGAAACTACGCAACATCAGCTAGATTTACACTGGCTAGCCATTAGAAGCAAAAAAACACCTCTGCAAATGCAAATCTTCTGATGATTCTGCTAATATCAGCTTCCATGGATGTAGCACACTCCTCTAGTTGGGGGGCTGGGGTGTATGGAACTCTTAAGTTCGAGATTCTTTGTACCAGAGAAGAATCTAATCTAAAAGGCACCAACTTTTCCAAGTCAGTAACAAGCTTTTCCCAAAAAGAAATTCAGAAAATGCAAAACCTGGTATGAAACGAAAAGTCAATCACTTTTCTTTGTAATTGAGAAGAATACCTAGTTGGAAGGAAATATATGCAAGTGAGTCGGCTCCAGTAATCACTATTCACCAATCAATTACTTCAAAGGAATCTCTTTTTATGTTTTATCTTTCTCTATCACGCTTTTCTATTGCTGAACAAATAATTATTCCATGGAACGAAACAAAAAGACAGAAATCCTTGTTACCTAGTGTAGGTTGGTGCTTGTCTTTCTGGGTCCCCCCATATGATTCATCACAAAGTGCAGGCTAGTCCCACAGTAGTTTCTTTATTGAAAATATCACTCTTTCTTTGTTAAAGGAGCAATGATAATCTTATAGAAACAATATTAATTACCATGATTGAGGTATGAAAATTAATACACCTATGACTGTTACAAGTGCCGCTGACTCAGCATTAAAATTGCTGTGATATAATAATTGTACGAAGAAATGTATGAAGCTGGGATGATGGCATGATGCGTCAGAAATGTTCCAAAATATATATATTTAAAGAAAAAACTTTATGATGTATAGCTGTTCTATTTCATACTGTTTTTGGACAAGCTACAATAATGCTGATATGGAAATGGACGATTAGAAGTAAAAGAAGAAGAAATTTGACGTTTTTCTATCCTACTGTGAAATAACTGTTCAATGACACTCCTACAGGCTACAATAATGTTGAAACCCCACAAGTAACATCTCATTTCTTGGAAGCCAGGTGACGGGAATTGAGATTTGAGAGCATGGGAACAAAAATATGCTTATAAAAATGTATTGCAACCTAAATATATGACAACGTTAATAAAAAAAAGGTGATGAAATCAGCTAGCAAATCTAACTCTGCTTTTGTTCATTTCTGAGAGAGGCCTTAGGTTTGGAGAAGCGAATCAGCTTTGTGACATCTGCTCTGATAGAAAAGAAGGCAGAAAGCAAAGCAATTAGCATGGTTGGGTATATGACTACACTTTTGGAATTCCTAAAAAGGACTTGCTTCTCAAGCCCCCATGTGATGAGAAGGACCCCAATAAGACTGAATCTCCCTGATTTCATTAGTCCAAAAAATGCTCCTGCCACTGACAAATAACTTCCTACTATAACCTGTGACATCCAAAACCAAGTATCATAAAGCAGAACAATTAAAGAAGAACAACTCGGAGCCCGTAATTCATTCAACAGTTTATATATCCTATTTGCACAGTATAATTTTCTGATAAAAGAAATTCAATTAAACCCCTTGTCCGAACTAACTCCACCCTTGCCCAAAGAAGCAGCATAAATTGATAACCAACCTCTAGGTTTTGGAGGTCATGTGTTACAGGAGATTGCTTCATGTTGGTGAATTTGTAGATTTTCAGAAGCTTGTCATAACTCGGGATGGTGTTGTTCTTATAAATGGCCTTTACTACGGCTCCTGGGTAAAGCAGGGCTTTTACCAAACCTCCAGGAATAATTCCATTTGCATATAACAGAGATAGGGACACCTCAATAGGTGTGGTACATGTACCAATTCTACATGGAAATCTGCAAAGCATTACAATCAAAAGTCATAAATTGTTCTTGAACTTGAGTAACCATGCTAGCATTTTTCACAAAATGTTTAGACTCGAATTCACAAAATGATTAACGTACATTTATTGAAGGGAGAACCAAATAATAAGGCGAATCTACCGCATCCCCATTATTAATATTGTTTTTGCTTCTTTTAATACTTGTCCTAATCAAGAACTTTTGTTGAGCTTTTATCAAATTAATCTAAGAGAAAAGGCATTGGGCGTCCATCTGAAAAGGTAACATGTGCTCAAATTGACAACTGATTCAATAAGGGAAAATATCGCGATCCCTAACTCACGAAATATTTGGTGCAGAAGCAAATGAGAAGGTATTATTAGAACCTGAAAAGTGGGACTTGGAACAGTATTAGAAGAAAGTATAGCCGGGAAGCGACGAAATAGACGTCCCGTGCCCATTTCTTTGACGCAGACGCCATGCCAATTGCCAGAAAGTGTTCCTGAAAGGGCCATAACCTTTATTCGACTAAGGAAAGAAAAAAGAAAAGAAAAATGGGAAACCACTTTTTTGTGGGCCATTAAGACCCTGAAGGGCCCATCTCCCATCACTTGCGCTGCCTCCATCATTTTCCTCCTCTCTCTCTCTCTCTCTTTTTTTTTTTTTTTTTTTTTTTTTTTTTTTTTTTTTTTTTTTTTTTTTTTGTGTGTGTGTGTTGGGAAAAATAGTCAATTTCTCCTATATTATTTAAAATTAAAATTAAAATTTTTGGTCTAGTATTATCCCATTAGAAAATTATTTTGTTTTTACCCTTGACCCCTAATAAAGTTTCAACATGAGAGAGAGTTTTAAATCATAGTAAGAAATTGACAAACTTAGTTCTTCTCTATTGGATCGTCTGGTAGTGGCTATGGTGAGGTACACAGTGGCTTCGGCTGTGGGGTTAGGAACGGAGGAGGCACTTCACTGTTGGATTTCGCTAGAGCTTTTGAGTTGGTGATCGTGAACTCTATTTTTTTCAAAGAAGGAGGAGTATTTGATTACTTTCCGGAATATGGTGGCTAAGACTCAGATTGATTATCTTCTCCTCTAGAGGTGTGATAAGGGGTTGTGCGGGGATTGTAAGGTGATCCCGAGTGAGAACCTCGCGACACAGCATAGACTCTTGGTGATGGACATCGGTATCTTGATAAAGAGAAAGAAGAGGTTTGTATGGGGTCAACCAAGGATCAGGTGATGAGCCTTGACTAAGGATACTGCGCTGGAGTTGGAGGGGAAGTTGGCGACGATGGGAGCCTGGAAGAGTGGTGGAGATGCTAGCGGTAAGTGGACGGCGACGGCGGATTGTATAAGGGAGGTGACAAGAGAGGTATTAGGGGTCTCGAAGGGATACTCAGGTGGGCACCGAGGCGACTGGTGGTGGAATGACGTGGTCCAGAGTAAAGTGGAAGCAAATAAAGCGGCTTACCTTAAGTTAGTGGAGAGCACCGACGAGGAGCAGATGAGAGCGAACATAGAAAGGTATAAGGAAGCTAGGAGGGAGGCGAAAGTAGCAGTCACGGAGGCTAAGACGACTGCGTTTGGGCGGCTGTATGAGGAATTGGGGGGTAAAGGTGGGGACAAGAAGTTATTTCGGCTGGCCAAAGCGAGAGAGAGGAAGGCTCGTGATCTGGAGCAAGTGAGGTGTATCAAAGACGAGGAAGGTCGTGTATCGATGAAAGAAGCCTAAATTAAGCAGAGATGGCAGTCGTATTTTCATAGACTTCTGAATGAAGAGGGAGACAGAAACATCAAGTTAGGGGAATTAGGGCACTCCGAGAGTCACCAAGACTAGAGGGACTTGCACATGGTATTTATTGATCTAGAGAAGGCATATGACAAGGTCCCTAGGGACGTTCTTTGGAGATGCCTGGAGGTGAAAGGTGTGCCGGTAGGCGTATGACAAGGTCCCTAGGGACGTTCTTTGGAGATGCCTGGAGGTGAAAGGTGTGCCGGTAGCTTATATTAGTGCAATAAAGTATTTGTATGATGGAGCTAAGACTCGGGTAAGGACTGTGGGAGGGGACTCAGAGCCTTTTCCGGTGGTTATGGGGTTACACCAAGCATCTGCGCTCAACCCATTCTTATTTGCTCTGGTGATGGACGCACTGACACACCATATTCAAGGGGAGGTGCCATGGTGTATGTCGTTCGCTGATGATATAGTTCTGATTGATGAGACGAAAGACAGTGTGAATGATAGACTGGAGGTATGGAGGCAGGCCCTGGAGTCTAAAGGTTTCAAGTTGAGTAAGACCAAGACGGAATATTTGGAGTGTCAATTCAGCGAGGGGTCGTGGGAAGCATTCGTGGAGGTGATGCTTGACTCGCAAGTCATCCCTAAGAGAGAGAGTTTCAAGTATCTAGGGTCAATTATCCAGGGAGACGGGGAGATCGACAGGGATGTCACGCACCATATCGGGGTGGGGTGGATGAAATAGAGGTTAGCATTTGGAGTCCTGTGCGACAAGAAGATGCCACTGAAACTTAAAGGTAAGTTCTATAGAGCGGTGGTTAGACCGGCCATGTTGTATGGAGCTGAGTGTTGGCTAGTCAAGAATTCTCATATCCAGAAGATGAAAGTAGCAAAAATGAGGATGTTGAGATGGATGTGTGGGTACACTAGGTTGGATAAGATTAGGAATGAAGATATTCGGGAGAGTGTGGGCGTGGCTCCTATGGACGTCAAGATACGGGAAGCGAGACTTAGATGGTTCGGGCACGTGCATAGGAGGAGCTTAGAGGCCCCGGTTAGGAGGTGTGAATGGTTGACTTTGACAGGTATGAGAAGAGGTAGAGGGCGACCTAAGAAGTATTGGGGCGAGGTGATCAGGTAAGATATGACGCAACTTCAAATTTCTGAGGACATGGCCCTGGATAGGGAGGTGTGGAGGTCGAGCATTATGGTTGTAGGTTAGGGGGTAGTTGAGCATTTTTCCAGCTAGTCTGATAGAGTTTGGTCTAGGTCTGCTAGCGGTTGTTGTTCATCACATGATTTTTATTTCCATAATTTATTTTTCAATTTTATTATTGACATACTTATTGCCCTTCCACTTATTTGTTGTCTTTTACGGTGCTGATTCTATTATTTGGTTTCTGTGTTGTTACAGATCTTTTGTCTCTGAGCCGAGGGTCTCCCGGAAATAGCCTCTCTACCCCCGGGTATGAGTAAGGTCTGCGTACACTCTACTCTTCCCAAACCCCACTAGTGGGATTACTACTGGGTTGATGTTGTTGTTGTGATTCTTCTCTATCAAAAAAACTTGAACAGGTCAGATTGGAGGTCAGTTAATCACAAAAGCAAATATGAGAATATGAGATAAAATTACTAATAACAAGGGTAGGAATAGAACAAAAATCTAACGGAGGATAAAATTGAACAACTTTAAATAATATAACAATAACTACGCCTCAATTTTAAAAGAGTTAGGGGTTGACTATATGAATACTCACGACTGTGTTTCTCCATTTAAGCTCAATTCATATTATCTTTATACCAAATAAAATAAAAGTAAATCATAAATTAAATATATGAATAGTAATAATAATATTAATCGTTCTCTATATTTTTACTTGTTTTATGACTAAATCTGGACCTTTTCCTTTTTTTCTTTTCATCCGCTTCCATCATTTTCCAAGTATTTTTTTTAAATAAAAAGGAATTCAATGTTGTAATGACAACCAAATCCTCAAAAGAATTAGGCTGCGTGCACGGAATTTTTTTCCTGTTTTTTGAAAATAAAAAGGAATTTTAGGTTCAAATGATAATCAAAATCTGAAAAGAATTAGGCGTGGACGGAATCTTTTTCCTTGGAAATTACGTAAATTTCAAGGGACTAAGACGTTTTCTTATTCTTTTTACAATAAGGATAAGTCCTAAATAATCATTGTTCTTAAAACTTTAAAATATTCAATGTTTCATTTAAATCTTATGCTGTTGGGTGTAACGACCAAACCGATCGTTTTGAGTATTACAACATTGTTCCCCCATTTACTGCTCTATTTATGCTTTACAATTGTTATGTGACTCGCCGGGGTGATTGGTTCGGATCCGGTGAGGTTTTGTAATGAATTGGAATACTTAGTTCTAAGGTTTAAAGCTTAAGTTAAAATAGTGATCGGATGTCGACTTATGTGTAAACGACCCCCGAAATAGAGTTTTGAAGATTTCAATAGCTCTGTATAGTGATTTTGGACTTAGAAGCGTGTTCGAAAAATTATTTGGAAGCCCGTAGCTAAATTAGGCTTGAAATGACGAAAATAAGAATTTAAGTTTGGAAGTTTGACCGGAGAGTTGACTTTTTTGATGTTAGGGCCGGAATCCGATTCTGAAAATTTGAATAGGTCCGTTATGTCATTTACGACTTGTGTGCAAAATTGGAGGCCAATCGGACTTGATTTGATAGGTTTCAGTGTTGAATGTAAAAGTTGAAAGTTCTTAGTTTCATTAAGCTTGAATTGGGGCATGATTCGTGGTTTTAGCGTTGTTTGTTATGATTTGAGGCTTCGACTAAGTTCGTATAATATTTTAGGACTTATTGGTGTATTTGGTTGAGGTCCCGGGGGCCTTGGGTGAGTTTCAGATGGTTAACGGATCGAATTCGTGCTTAGAAGAAAATCTGAAAGTTTCTGCCATCTGATACAATCGCACCTGCGGAAATTGGCTCGCAGGTGCGAGCTCACATAAGCGAGCATGGCAAGCGCAGAGGCGGCGTTGCACCTGCGAAGGTTCGATCGCAGAAGCGGAAATGAGGGGGGCCAGGCGGCTTCGCGAAAACGGACAGCTTCTCGCAGAAGCGAGTCCGCAGAAGCGATGAAGCCGCAAAAGCGAAGGAATTCTAGCATCTGCGAGACCGTAGATGCGGCTAAAAATCTCGCAGAAGCGGAAACCCCTGGACAGTACAAAAACATAGGGTTTTGAGTTTTTTTTCATTTTTGGGCATTTCAAACTCGGGATGGGCGATTTTGAACGAGGTTTTCGCGGGAATTCTTGAGGTAAGTCACTTGTGATTATTTTTACTCCATAATATTGAATTATCATCGAATAATTCGACTAGATTACGTGTTTTTGAGGTATAAATCGGGGATTTGGGCCTAGGGATTTGGAAATAAGATTTGATTATTTGGAGGTCGAGTTGATATCGTATTTGGATAATTTTTGTATGGCTGGACTCGTAGTTGAATGGGCGTTCATATTTTGTAACTTTTGTCGGATTCCGAGACGTGGGCCCCACGGGAGATTTTTGAGTTAAATTTCGAATATTTGTTGGAAAATTTGTATTTTCATATGGAATTTATTCCTATAATTTGTATTGGCTGAATCGAATTAATTATGACTAGATTCGAGCTGGTCGGAGTCGGAAAATTGAGGGAAAGACATTCTACTTGACTTATTGAGCGTGATTCGAGGTAAGTGGCTTGTCTAACCCTGTGTGGGGAAAATTTTCCTAGGATTTGATACTGTTGTAATATTTTGTGATATGTGAGCGCCGT